ATCTCACAGGGCTTTGTGGGAATGCTTTGGGATATAATTCCAAAGGAGGTGGTTAGAAAGGTCTTTTTTTTTTTTGTCCCAGTTATTGTAAATGTAAAACGGTGAACTATCACAATACAGTGATGGCACCTACTGAAACACTTTCCGGGACAGTGGGCATATATCATCTGTAGCATCAACCTTCAGTACGTCATGCTTTGCAGAACAACATTAGTTATTTTTTGCTCTAGTCGTCTTTGACATTTTTATGTCCAGCGGGTACTGGGGTTCTGTCTAGGTGTCTTCAGTTTAGAGCAGAAGGACTCATTTAGCCCTTCTAGGTTTTTTGGTAGTTAGTAGTTCATTGACCCAAGGCTCTCTCATCCAGCTTCAAAACCATGGCTGGGTAACTCGTTTCACACTCCCACCAACCTTTGGGTAAAGTGGCTCCTGTTTTGGGTTTTTAGTGCACTTCAGCAGTGTCCATTTCTACCTTCTGGCTCGTGTATCACTGTTCATTCTGAAGAAGCCTGCTGGATTGATACCTTTTCTGGGATTCTGCCTTGAAGGTTAATCAATCTAAAACCTGTTTCTGTCGTGTCCTGGGAGCCTGTCATCGAGCTGCAGCACGTCTCGCTGTGAGGCCCACTAACACACAACCCCCCGCTCCTCAGATTGACTTGTTTTACATGATCAGCAAATTCAAATACCGGGGGGAAAATCTGCTAAAAAGAGCACATTGTGCTGTGAAGACTCACCCTTGCATTGTTTTGTTGCAGGATACTATTCTGATAAGACGGAAAAAGAAACGGTTATTTTGAGGCTGAGAACACAAGGGTGAGAGGGTCTGGTGGTCTGAGACGGGACCAAATCGAAGCCTCTCGTGATCCAGCGGCTTGGGCTGAGTTTATTCCCAGGCTCGTGCTGGTCTGTTGGTAGCGGCTTAGTTTTCGGAGAATCTCAGCCAGCTGCTTTTCGGATGAGGTTGAGACAGGAACTGATGCAGTTAGGTGTTTTTTTTTTTCCAGATGCCCCTAACTTCTTTATGTAAAGAAGTGCCTCTCTTTCTGCACGTGTGTGGTACAGTGTGCCGTTCAGCCAGTGGAGAATGGGTGGAGGCTGCAGGGCAGATGGGCATGAGCATAAAGGTGTGTGTTAACATGAAGATACAGACTTGTGTCTTTAAAGTGGCACCTTCCATCCAAAAAGCCTACATACTGTACTCACCTGTTGTCTTTGCTGTTTAATCGTGCTCAGCTTTGAAATGACATAAAACAATTAAAAGCTTATTGCCTGTTTATGACATACCTGTAAACATACAGTATTTGCTTAATTGTCTGCTGCAATAAAAGACAGTTTGTGGGGAGGAGCTGAGTTATTGCAGTGCGACAGAAAAGGTTGTCAGGTTATTTCAGGCTCCAGGAAGATGAGCCACAGTGGGATAAGCAGTTTGTCTACCTTTAACCCTCAGCTTTCTGGAATTGGGAACACAAAGCACAAAGAACACAAAGCATGATCCTGCGTCTGAGATCAATAAAACCTTGGTTTGGGACAGCCCGATCAAGCCTAGATTGTATTTTGAGTCGTGTTTTGTATTAGCTGTCCATCCATTATCAGAAAGCTTATTTGTCTTCTCAGTTTGGAGTCAAGGGATGCAAGTTGTGACCATGTCCTTGATGGGATTTGAGCCAATTGAAATAAGACTTGGTCAAGTATTTAGAAGAAAATTCCTAAAGAACTGTCTATTCTCCTTTTATTATGGGGGTGATCACATGCTTTGTCTAATGTTTTTCCATGCAACCTACCAGAAGAGTTCTGCAGAGTCAAACCAACAGTCCAGTCGGATTATCCCTATTGGAGAAAAAAGAAACAGAACAAATAAAGTATAGTGCCAGGCAGAGCATTACATTATGCAAAGCTCACACCTGAAGAAGGCTCAACGGCCGAAACGTTGTGTTCTCTTTTTTCTTTTTTTCAGCATGAAATAAACCTATTACTTGTACATTATGCAAATGTTGAGACAAGTCTTGTGTATGCTGCCACGTCCTGGATCTGCATGGATAAGCCCTGGAATGAGTGGGGACAGATGGTTGTTCATAAGCCATGTAATGTTTGTAGAGCGTTGCTTTCACGGATCCATCAATGAAATGTATAGTACGCACATTTGAAGATATATATTGTCTTTGAGTAGCTGAGCAGCAAGCACCTGACGTTTTGTTTTTTCCTTTTCCTCTTCCAGAATATTGACATCACTAATTTTAGCAGCAGCTGGAATGATGGCCTGGCATTCTGTGCTGTTCTGCACACCTACCTTCCTGCTCACATTCCATACCAGGAGCTAAACAGCCAGGACAAGGTATGTGGTGAGGCTAGATCTGTTTGGGGCTCCTAGGAGATTTTGAACCACAGTGGAGGATAGATAGAATCTGTCTTCAGATAGTTCACTATGCATTTTTGCATATTGAATACATGACCCAAAACAACAAAACAAAGCCACACCTTGGTCGTGTTGTGTCAAGGTTTTATTCATGACAGAGTTTCGGGAAGGAAAAAATTCAAGCAGTGCAGATGATATCCAAATACAAGCATTTGAATTCGTTCTCGAGCTGCGTAGAGTTGACTGAAATTTTGCTAGCTTCTTGGCCTTTTAATAAAACTCCAGCTTTTGTGTAAGTGGAAGGACAGGATGGGTGACTTTTAAACTCTCAATAACACAGGAAGCTCATTGTACTTTGCTCTCTTTTTCAGAGAAGAAATTTCACGTTGGCTTTCCAGGCTGCGGAGAGTGTTGGCATCAAGTCCACATTGGTAAGATCATAAAATATCCCTGTGCTGCGGTGCTTGTTTTATCGCTTACAGTACAAAATTAACCCCTTCTCTCTTAGCTGCGTGATATTTCATCACCTCCTTGCTGATACCAATGGAAGAGGGACGCCCCAATAGCAAACATTTACTTGCAGCTCACTGTTTAATCTTTGATACCAGTAACACCGTTGTTTATAGAACAAAAGGTGGTTTCTGTTGTGACAGTAATCAACACACTAAAGAATGTTATACATATCCTGTTTGGGTTTCATCAATACCATATAATGTATTCTGCAATCTTCTGAACATATATACAGTACTGTGTTGCTGTGAAATGACAGATTTTGAGTTGACGGTGGGTGTAATTGGTACTACTAATAAGAGCAAGGTCAGGGGCAGGTCACAGACACTCACACAGCTTAGTTTATGAATATAAGTCAAGTGTCATAGAACAGCACAGGGAAGTTTTACCAGTAGACCCAGTCAATGACTACTGCACTACAGTGGTCAAGGAACATCGAAATATCTGTTTTTGTAAAGGGGAGATTGCTGGCCGGCCTTTTATTTATTTTATTTTTTTTACAATTTTGTTCATGTAATGTTTAGATCTCAAGTTCCTTTGTGAGGCTTAAGTTTAATTCGTTCCACTGTCACTTATAGAAGTTGGGTTTATCACAACAAAGAGTTAAAAGAACAGAGTGCCTCTAAACTTCCTGAATAGAACCTTTGGTGCTGAAAATCTCATGATTTCAAAGCTCAAAAAAGGAAACACTGTAGTAAAGACTTACAACTACCTTGTTTGATTATGCAGTTAAAAGGTTAAAATTAGACTCCTATCCTGAGGCCTTTAATATAAGGAGATTACAAATGTGTCTAATGTATTCACACATTAATGTGATTTGTTATCTGATATTTACCTTTTTATTGTAACTGAACACTTCAACTTTAATGTTATTTCCAGCCACTAGCAGTTTTCCAGTGGGAATCTCAGCAGATTGTCAGAAGAAGGTTTAATTCACCGATCTAGCACAGCAGACCTTTTTAAAAAAAAAAACAACCATCTAAAGTCAAAACATGAAGATGAGCCTGCTGAATGCTCCTCAGAGAGGAGCCTGTATTACCTCCCTGCACCTGTCAGCAGAATCGCATAAAAAGCCAATTCAGAGCCTTCCAGGAAAGCAGACTACAATCCAGCACTTGTTCCACAAAAGCGCTTTCCTGGCTTTGACTGACAGTGTTCTTTAAAAAGCTTGATAGGGCATATTCTAACGGTTCTCCACAATGGCGTTATTAAGCTAAAAAATCCAACTTCAGGAAGTACTTGACAACAACAAGTAGATTTTGTCAAGACAGAATGGACAATGTGTTGTTTCAGTTTGCTCACTCTTTTCTAACGGCACGGCTAACCTGTGTCACTTCGCACAAGGGCAGCCAGATGCTCAGCATGGAAAGATGGATAGTTTTCCATTACTGCCCTCTTGAAACTCCAAGTACCTAAAAGTGACCTGCTGATGGATAAAGATTAGCACAAAAGAGAAATGTGCTCATTTACTTTGGCTTTAAAGTGCAGAATTGCGGTGTTACTTTTTTCAAGAGAAGTGGCTTTTCTGGCTCAGATACAAGACAGCTCTTGTCTTCACTTGATTAGGTGATCCTCTTGGAACTGTTAAACAGTTACTATACTATTATTGAGAAAATAGTGTTTCTCATTTCTGTAAAATTGTTTTTACCTGCATTGCTGTAGTAGTTAAGCGTTTTCATTTCTGAACTGAGATGGAGGAGGTGTTTGTGGTTTGAGCTTTGTTTCATTTTTAATTTTCGGTTGCTTCTCTGTCAAGCCTAAAAATCAAATTGAAATGTATTTTCAACAACACGGAATGTACTAGAAACTAGTTTCCCAGTGAAACAGTCCTGTTCCTTCTATTCCAGGATGTCTTCTGTGTTCTAATCAGGGATTCTGTTCTTTGTATTTCTGATATGACCCTTTTTTTAAAATAGCATTGCTATGGAATGGAATTTTGTCATGGCAATAACTCAATCTCTACAGTCCTCCTATTACTGAAAAACACCTAAGTTAATTACGGGAGTTTTAGCATCATGAGGATGTTCAGTGAATTCAGCTGCCTTTGTGATCAGTGTCATAGGTCTGTCAGAGTTTAAATATATATACACTGATATAAATACCATCTTCACAGAAAAAATTGATTAGGATGTTGTATACTTTTTCTTTCCTTGATTCCTATCTTGTTGAGTGACTGCGCCATTGTACACATCACAATAGGAGACTACTTGTTATTGGATTTTTTCCATTTCTTAGTGTTGAGAAAATGATTTTCTTTGAAATGACTGGTGCAGGATGTACAAGTTGAAGCAGAGAAAAAGAAACAAGCTGTAGCTTTCTGAGTACACACAGTGAACTGGGATGTCGATAGATTGGACTTCAACCTCAGCAAACACAGATCTGGCTGATACAGTATGCCTACCTGAAACTGTTTTTTTGTGTATATGGCATGTAGAATACCACTAATGTATCACAATACACAGATTGCAACTTAAGTGATTAAATAGTACTGATAATGCATAATCCTTATTCTTTTAAATGTCTTGTCCTTTAATTTAATGTTTTGTAAATCTGAAGAGCAAACCGTGACCAATAACTAACTGTGATGAATTCTTTTTCTCATTCTTTTTTTCTCGGTGCTGTATTTGGTTGCACCAGTCATGGCTCAGCCCGAACACCGTGACAGAAAGTCTAATGATGTTTGTCTCTTGGCGACCGCAGGACATCAACGAGATGGTGCACACGGAGCGACCCGACTGGCAGAGCGTCATGATCTACGTCACGGCCATTTACAAATACTTCGAGACCTGACCGTGCCCCACACCAAGGCCCCCGGCGAGTTCGCTACCCGACACACAGGCAGCAGCAGCCCACAGCACAGCAGCATTGTCATCCCCCAGCCGACGCCCGAGCGTGGAGCCCCGCTCTGCAGAGCCGAGAGGGACTTAAGGCGGAGATGCTTCTCATTCACTCTCAGCGCTCAAATCCTGATGCCCCTCGTCTGAGCATGTTAATCAGGGTAATCAGGAAGACTCCTTATCAAGAACTCTGGGACTGAGCTTTAACAGAGGAGAAAAGTGCCATTTGGGATTTTTGCGGTAGCGTTCCAGCAATCACGCAGTGCACCTTCTCAGTGCAGCTATGCTCTGATCTTCTCGATTAGCCAGGAAGGCAGGAAAAAACACAAGTCCCCCTTGTAGCACCAGAAGGAACAGCAGTCACTGTCCCTTTGTCAGGCAAACAGCTGTCCGTAAGGTCGACTCCACATTTGTCTCGTCTTCTGTTCTTCAGCTGCCACTTAAAAAACTGTCTCAGCGCTGTTGTCTTTCTGACATTGACAATGTAATACTTGTCTCAAACAAAGAAAAGCACAGACTTTGACCACACTCAACCAATAAAAAATGATTGTAACAGGAAAAACTAAGCAGTACCTGTGTTTAGACAGACAATGGAGCTTCTTTGTCCAGTATATTTTTATAAGGATAAGCCCCAACAATAAATATTTGGATTTTCTTTCACAGACTATTGCACATTGTGAGCCCTGTACGTGTTCAGGTAAATTGTGGCTAGATATTTGCTTTCCCCCTCAACATAAAGCTTACATTTCTGCAGCTTGCACTCCTGTGATACTCTTGATGAGTTGCTATTGTTGATAAACTCATTAAGACCGTTTTTTCTTAGTTTGTGAAAGTCAAAATCCCACCTTTGTGCCTTTTTAAGAGAGAGAACTCTGCATTGAAACCATATTCTCACATCTGGAACCCAAAGCTCTTGGAGTTGTTCAGTGATATATTTTTGTTTGCTTTCACCAGTGGAATTTATTAGCCACTAATATTGTCCACTCCAGTCAGTTGTCACCTCATACCCTGAGAGGATGAAGTGGTGTCAGATGTAGTAGGTATTAGACGGCTAACCCACGCACACATTCTTGATTTTTTTTTAAAACAAAGTTTATTTATCATCCGTTGTCAGAACATTCAGGTATTACCTTTTAAAATTGAATCTACATTAGTCACCTGACAGCTTCAGATTTTCTTCTGGCAGTGCTTTAGCTGAATCGTGTGGATCGGTCTTTCTCTTGCTACACCTTCAGCTGCTGACCGACCTAGTTTATGAAAGGGTATATTTAACCGTGAGTGCAACACCGCATGACCACAGAGACGCTTGCTTGTGCTTGCATGACTGCCTTATTTTCACATGCAGATGTTTCCTGGAACTTCTTGCTTTTGTTTCCGGTTCTTGTGTAACTTGCTTGTCAGCTGTCAGGGAGCAGTACAGTCTGCCATACTGTCATTTGTGATTATGCATATCACCTGAGGGAAACATTGTCCAGAGGTAGTTGGCATTACTCGTACCTGGAAGCTTTACATTGTTGTAGATTTGAATATCTCTGCATATTTATTGACAAATTCTTGTTTCACAGATTTCAAGAACTATAGACTAGTCATTTATTCTTAAATTGTTAGTGATTGTCATTACGTTAGGCAGCATTAAAAAAGAATGGATTCCTGTAGGAAAGATTTTTGTTAACTGAGAAGCTACTGTACCGTCTTACTGTGGATGGATACAGTAACACAGATAAACTGCGTCTACTGTCTAAAGAACTAAAATGAGGAGCCATGTTGCTTTAATAAAACATTACTTTTAATAATAATAACATAATTCTTGCAACAACTGAAAAAACAAAGAATCTTTTATTCAGAACAAACATGATTTTTTTAAGAGTTCAGTGATGAAAAAGCACAGAGAAGAGTTTCCTTTATTTTGACTTCAGTTCAGATTTTTCATAACCCCATGTCTTCAGAAGGCGTCCTGGTGACTTGAGACAAGTTTCTGTGCTGCTGCTTCTGTTTTTTGTGTAGCTACAGATAAAAATAGATCACTTTCTGCAATGTAGAGTGTGTATAAAAGTGTGTGCTCTTTCACTTTTTTGACACCACTTTGTCCCTGTTTGAAGTGTTTTGAAAATGCTTGCTTCAAAGAAAAAGAGCCGTCAAATTTTCAGACAGCTCTTGCTTAAATAAACAGTGATCACGTTCCCATTATCTACAGAATTAAGAAAACAATACCATAAAAAAGACTTATTGATGCTGGTAGTTATGATTTAACTGGAATTGCTCCTTTGAGAGTACTAATTTTTAAAGGTTAAAGAGTGGCAGCCACTGAACTGTTTCTTACCGTCATTATTAGATTAAATATCTTCCTCGCTAGTTTGCAATCTACAGTATCTTCTATCTAATATGAAACAGTGTTGGGGGAAATGGAAAAAGAAAAACGAATGACTATTTTATTTCATGGAGTTCCCATAGGTTTTGACTGAGCCTTGGCTGGTTTTATTTAGAGTTCAGATTTCTGTTGTATTTCTAAAATGGCGCAGTTTCAGCTGACAAAATGTGCAGCTGTTTCTTGCCACTTGTGTGACACTACGAATTGTCTGCCCTTTCCTGGGTGCCAGAATATAAGCTACCCCTTGCTGGCTCTCTGTTTTTGGGGGGGACACATCTGGGCTAGAAGAGTTACACTCACGGATAATTATCAGTGTGCCTGTGGGAATGCTGTACCATCCAGGACTTCTGCCCACTAAGTCTTCCTCTGTTGCACCTCTCTTGCTGAAATTTAGATTAAATGATTGTACTGATTTTGGAAGAAATGTTGCTGATGCTGAACTTGATTTTTTTCCCCTTCTAGCTTTAAGAGTTTGTCTTCCTTATGTAGTATACTGTATGATACATTTTATGATTCCTATTTTTCTTAACAGTAGGCAGCTTACAATACCAGTGGATGTGTATCCTGTCAAAATCCTAGTTTGTTTTTTTATCCAGCACATCTAGCATTTGCACCCATCTATACATCTGGGGATTGTACTGGAGGGGCACAGGTGAAGCACCTTCTTCACTGGTAGAGTAGGAGTGTCTCACCTGGGAGTTGAACCCACAACCTTCCAGTTACAAGTTTGGAACCCTAACCACTGCTCCACACTACCACTCCCGTCCTCTCTGGTAATGGCTAGCCTAGTGCTTCTCTGGTAGTAAAACGAATGAGACTTTTTTAGTTTAGGAAGCACATATTTATTCTAGGTATCTTATGTAGATTTCCATATTCTCAGGAAGGTTAGCATTATATTAATAAGATATGTTTCCAGCAGATGTCATTTACTGTACAATATCTAGCATTAAGCAGATGTCTGTCTGAGAGAAGAAGGCTGCTCCTTTCTATATCTGGCTGCATCTGAGAAGAAGAGGAAATACCTGAACACAGCTGTGATTTCTGTTGTTCTGGTTTATGGCAATGCTTTGAACATCCTCCTTGAAGGAGGCAGCATAACTGGTAGGAGAAGTGGCTTGCAGTGAGATAAAATGTTGGAACCGCCAGTGACTGTTCCAACATTTTATCTCTGATTTATTTAACACAAATCCCCACTGTACTTTACATTGTTATATACATTTGCATTAGAATAATTACCTCCAGCAGTGGTCCAGGAGAAACCCCAGTCCTGTAGGTTTTAAAAAAATCTTCATTCAGGGACTGAGTGAAGTCGGAAACTTGTTGAGTTAGTAGTTTTTGAGAATCATGGCTGGAAACCTCTGAAAATAAGACACAAATATTGAGGGCTGGATGCATAAAAGTGTTAGCACAGTGTTCATTTTATGCACTAAGGTGTTAAAGAAAAAATAAAATGATCATTTTTACAGGTGACAGAATGGTTCAAGAGTGCATTTGAAAAGAATAAGGAATTTGAGATTATGATAAAACCAGCTTTAGCCAGATTTCATTTTGTGGATCCAAACCAAAGTACAGTACAGTATTTACACACTGTATTAATTAAACCTTATACCACCATGTCAAGGTGAAAACCTGTTCTATATTTATTTCCCAAAATGAAAATAGAGATTTATTTTAATAGGAACTTTAAACATTCCCCATTTGACTTTATATTGCAAACATTTCAATTTTTTTTAATGAATTATACTAATGCAAATGTATTGATATCATCTATAGCATCAGAAAACTTTGAGTGCCTTAAAATGCATTATGAAGGTGGCCCTAAACATTTTTTTGTCCAGGAATAGCAAATGAATGTTCCACTATTCATGTAAGACTGTTCTGGGGTTAGCTGAAGGAAGTGGAGCGGTTTGGGATTTCAGAATAATTCAGTACATGCCCTCCTTGACATCTTAGTAATTATTGAAAGGGCCTTTAGCAGTAGATTTTGGGCAGGTGTATTTGTTTTTTCTGCCCCAGTGTTATACACAGCTTTCTCTGTGTGCTTTCTCTTTGATCTGAAGGGTAATCCCATACTTGCGCAAGCCCACTTGAAGAATGTACTGTTGGAGGTGCACCCAATTGAGACCAACCTCGTAGCAAATGTGTGTAAATGACAGACCTGGGTTTGCAAGCTAGTGCTACTTTTCATCTGTGTGGCTCTCCAATGTACATACAGTAGTCCTGGATTTTCACTCCCAGAGCAAAATCAAGAGGGTTTGGTGCTCTGTCAATAATCTCCTGTAACAACAGAAACAGGTAACCACCAAAATTGAAAGCTGCAAAATTGGAAGTGTAGAATGTTAGTTTCTCATGTTCAGTATATTGTATTGAATGTGTAAAGATAAGACTGTTTTCATTGTCTGAGTGTCTATGTTAAGTTGTGCCTTCCAGGCATTGGTATGACAGTAATTATTAGAATGTTTAAGTTATGTATCGCTTTTTTAAACCTGTGGCAAACCCATCTATAATTCTGTTCTTGCCTTTGTATTCAGCTGATACAAACCGCTAAGAATCATTCAACACTTCTCTGACTTCCTGTGTTTTTTTTTCAATAAGCCGTGTTGGAAATGTGAAAGAATGTGATGTTCTGTTCCATCACTCTGCCTGCTTTGCTCTGGGGAGTTGACTGTGTTTTGGGCAAATCTTTGTCAAAAAGATTTTTTGTAGCCTTTTTTTAGGGTGGCGACATTTCTCCACGATGGACACGTTCTTTGCGGTCGTTGATTACACTGATCCCCGAGATTTTCCAGAATTCTGCTCATTGACCGTTTAAGGTTTCCCATAAAATGTGCTGCGACTCTCCCTGAAACCATTTAAAGTACCTTAAAAAATATATGCTTACAGGGCAACGGATGGATTTCAAGGATGTCCCTTGAGTGATATCCTAAATGCTGTTCTTATTTGAATAATTGCACAAGCTCTGACAGAAGGCTATTAGCTGATCGTATTGAATATGAGCTTTACTAGTTTTGAATCGGGGGGGATAAACCTGCAGCAAGATGAGACTGGATTCTGGGTGACTGGTGAGATACAAATCAAGGAAATCCCAGACGTTGTTTTTGTTTTGAAAACCCATATCTGTAAGAATTTAGCTGAAATCCATTTCTTCAAATTTAAGATTGTCTCTATTGATCCAGCAGTAGTTGGTCTTATTCTCCAAATTCATTTTAAGATCCTTTTTCTTGCTGTGACACCATGCCCAGAATATTGTCTTCTTGCCTTTTATTTTCACTGTTGTTGCATTTCTTAATCATTTTAAACTGTGGATGAGCTTCTTCAGTCTTAGAAGACCTGGGGTGTGCATGTATTTTGATTTACTTTTCAATTAGAAGCTCATAGGAAAACTGGTGATTGGGCTACATTCCAATTAATTAGCTTAATTCAGTAATTATGATCAGGAACAACTCTGTGGCCTCACCCTTGAGGTCCTGCAGTTCCTAACCCCTGTTTTAAACACAACCAAATTCACGATGTTCAGGTACAGTGTTGGTGTTCAGCCCTAGTTTGGGACAAACCCTGTTACACTTCACACATTCACTAAATAATTTGCTCAATCAGAGGTGTTGCACTCCAACTGCTCCTAGAAAGCTGTAGAAGCTGTCTTCGAGTTCATCCTAGCCAGAGGAGTTCAAATAACATCTGAGCCCACATGGAGAGACTGAAACATCAGCTCCTTTCATCTTTGCAGATGCATAGCAATATTGCAGATATTTACAAATATTGTCAGTTATTATATTACATGATCACTACATGCTGAAGATACAATGTGGAAGAATAAAAACATAGTACAAATCTCAGTCTTTCATTGAACACTGGATATGAAACCTGATAACAGGCCAGCTTTTTCAGGATTTAATTACAACACATAACCATTATACACATAAGTGCTTCTAACTGTAATGCCAGTTGCATTTTCTTTGTTTTTCTTGCTATTTAAATAGTGGCATTTTGTTTTAATCAAAATAGGTGCCATATTTGAGATTTTCATGTTTTTCTAAACATTATGCTTCTAAGATGTTATGGACAACTGCTGCAGATGACATCTGTAAGATTTCGTCTGTGGAGCCTTCGTCAGGTGTGTCACCCGAAGAAGGCTCCATGGCAGAAACGTGTTTTCTTCTTTTTTTCAGCATGGAATAAACCTATTTACTTGTTCCTTTGCAGCCTACGCATGCTGACGCAGCTCCCCACCTGAACATCTGTAAGATTTGCTGTGTTGTAAAATCTGTTCACCAACTTGAACAGCAGTCAACATACAGATCTTCAGTACTATATTATCTTTCTTTTGTGCCGGTAACATCTGAGCATCACAAACAAAGGTAGATGTTGATCTATGCATTTCTTGACTGTTCAACACGTTTGGTCCTATGTCCACAGTATACTCTACCTATTCTGCTGCTAAATGGTCATTTGAAGAAACTAGAGTTTAGATGGACAGTTTCCATTTTGTCTGGGTTTTTAACAAGTGGTACTGTATATAGGAAAATGCAGTTCAATTGTTGACATCAAATTTGATAAAGGTTCCTTGATTGAAGTTCCAGTTTAGTTTTTTTTATATCTGTATATTACAGGATTTAAATTATTTTGTCCTGCCTGTTTCCTATTTGTAGACTTGTAATCTAGTTTAACCAATACACGTTCAAAACAGTTACTGAAAATATATACTGCTCGCAATATAAGAATAAACACATTTTATGTACTTTTTTCACAACCACCTATATTTACAGTCTTGTATCATTTGTAGCTGACCTAATATGAAATGGTTTGGGGGAACATTTGTCTTCACAGAGGTGCTGCTGTAGAATGAACAAGGGAATGCAGGTGTGGGAATGAATATTGCAAAGACAAAGCAGAGCAATGAGAGCTGTTTGCTCACTGGGTGGTTGTGCTTTTTCAATATAGCCCAAACTATATGGTGAAATGTGGAAAACAACTAGAGTTTGAAACTAATTGAAAGCTTACTTTTATAGATTAACATAGAGAACAGATACCAGTTGTTTTCAAAGAGGAACAGTCCACTCAGGATGAACTTGAAAATGCAGATCACACCAGCAACACCTAGAAGAGTTGGAGCCTTAGCAAAACAAGTCATTAATGAGTGCTTTCAGAAGGAGAGTTGAAAAGAGCCAGGAGCCTGCAGGGGCAGAGCGACTGGGCTTAAAGGGAAGACGGAGAGAGAAACTGCAACTCTTTGAGTTCATTCTCATCCTGTTCAGATGCCCAAACAGAGAGTGACAAGGTTGTTGAAGGGGGAAAGCAGACAGGAAAGGGCAAGAGTTTGAAAAGATGAATGAACAATGGAGAGAAACTGGCCCTGACAGAGGGATATCCACTACAGCAAAAAGCCCTTACTACTGTAATCTCATTGCTTTTATTTTAGAAGCTCTATGCCTGACTAGAGTCTCTGATATTTGGTGGCTTATATCCAATTAGTTAATCTTATCAGGATTGCAGATTGTGAAAGTTGACTTTTCAAATTCAGTTTTTACAATTTAGATTTCAGATATTTTCTGCAACAACTTTAGCCAATATATTTTTTTCCGGCGTGAGGTACAGTACATAAACACATAAGCGATTGTGGACAAATAAAATGTTTGTTGTGAATCCATCCAGTTCAGCTTTCACGATGGGAAGCTTGATGAAACTTCGCCTTTGAAAACCTCAAGGTAAGATTTAACCTGTTGACTGACTGCGGGCAAACTGCCCATCTAGTTCATCTGCTATAATGTAGGCAGTTTCCCCGCTGGGGAAATAAAGATGCTAGTTATGTCAAATTTGGAGTCAATCATCATTTAAAGCTTAGTTTCTAATATTATCATTTGATCCTCTTCTCTGGACTGACCTTTCCATTATTCAAGCAAATTGGTTTTCTAATTAGAGCTTTTTTTGTGACAAGACTGAAGTCATGCTTATTGGCACCCCCCATCAACTTTGTAAAGCCAGTCCTGTAACCCTGTCTGTAGATGGTTCTGTACTTGAGCTTCAGTCTAAATTGAAAAACCTTGGGGTGATATTAGATTCTGGCTTAACATTTGACCCACGTGTGCAGTATATTCTCAAAACATATTTTTTTCACCTCAGAAATATCGCTAGACAATGCCCTATGTTATCACTAACTGTGGCTGAAAAGCTGATCAACACATTTGTGTTCTCCTGAATTGCCTACTGTAATGCTCTACTCGCTGGGCTATCTAAATCTACATTGAACAAACTGCAGTACGTCCAAAATTCGGCAGCCAGAATCCTGACCAGGTCTACTGCAAGTGATCATATTACTCCTATCCTGGAGTCCTTGCACTGGCTTCCTGTCAAATTCCATGTGGACTTGAAAATCCTCATGCTCGCCTAATGACAAGGAGGATTTATATTTAAAATGGACCAGTGCTTTAAGTCTGTAAGTCTGTTTTTGTAAACTAATGCTCTCTTGGTTTAGTCTTGAATCATGGTCCACTTTCAGTGGGTGGGCAATTTTTTGGAAGACTTTGTTTGTCAGGCCTACATTGTAGACTTCAGTCACATGTTTGTGAAGAAAAGCCCTTTAGTTCATGACACAAACTTGACCTTAGTCCCATGCTCGATATCATTCAGCCTTTTATTATGTGAAAACATGTGCTTCATGCTCTGCAATAAAATAGTGCCTTTTAGAACTACTGAGGCTAACTGTGCAGCACAGATTTTTCTTTAAATACATAAAAATCTTTACGGCCTCGGTTTGCTGTTGCCTTGTTTTGTTCGATGACGCCCTACACAGCAAATCTGTGAAGTGGCACATTCAGGAAAAATTAAACCATTTCTATTAGAACATTTCAGAGGTCACAGTGGTTAATGTCAGTGGTTCATAGCTGTTCTCTGATTGCTGTTTTCACATTAGCGTTTACCGTGTTCTTGCCCAATTGGCTCTGAAGGATTTTCATTCATGCCTGTTGAAATTGGAATTCATATTCTGCTCGGTGCATGTCTGGAGAAAAAGCTTATTTCTGTGCATCATAATTCTTTGATGCCAATTGACAAAAACTGTTAGAAACATGTCCAAGCTAGAGCATTGCGAGCACTACAGGAGAAAGACGAAAAAAGCCATTTGACGGCCAAATGAAAAAAAAAAAATTGTGACAGTCATACCTTTAATTATACCATTAGATCAGGCAAGAAAGAGAGAAATTATAACACCAGTATAATTAAGGGGGAGTATACTGTAGATGAGTGTATTGTGAAATCCCATTTGTGCAGTCCTAATATAGCCAGGAGGGTGGGGTTGACACCCATACTCTTATGAACCCTGGGAAAGTCTGGACTTGGGTTTAATGTCTCATCTGAAGGACAGCAGCTCCAGGTTTTCCTTAGAGATCACATCCCAGGACTGACTATGCCCATCCTTGTTTAGCTTCTGAGATCTGATGAGATCAGGCTACAGGTGGCCATGCTGCTGTCTAAACATTAGCACTGACAACCTCGATTACTCTCTGTTGACATTAATATAACACGTGTACTGTACTAAAGCTAACAAGATGTCTTGTGTGTTTTGTGGGAAATTGAGGAAATACTGTACATGGTTTTTTTATTGAGATTAATTATCATTTAGTTAACATTGGTACAAGGTGGCATACAATATACTTATTATTGTCAATTGTACCCTATGCGAGTGCAGTTACAGATAAGGTAAGAAAGGTTTTATAAATTCCACAGGGTTAATTACCTCAGCTGCTTAATACATTTGTATATGCTGCATTTGCATATGGACTTTTAAGCAAGGCAATTTTCACACAAATTGTTTACATATTGTGGCAAAAACAATGTGTTAGACCCCTAGGCTTCTGATTCAATATACATAAATAAATTTTAAAATATTTTTAAAAGATCAGTTATAAAAAAAAAAACTTTCATACTCCTGTGTTTACTGTAAGACAGGGGTTTCTGAAATTCAAAAGTAGTGGTGGTATGGCCAAAATTTCATAACCATTGCCACAGCCGCTTCGTAGAACTCGGCAGGTTGCGTTTGCTTTGAGTAAAAAAATAAAATAAGTGCTTGAATATCACACTGATCGCAGCAGGCCAGTGTGTCCAAGGTGTTAGTCTTGGCAAAGATAAAAAATTAAAGACGTTTAACTCCATCTCACAGTCAAACGTTTGACAGTTTTCTGCACAACATGAACACTGGGAATTTAAAATGTTCAAGCGACAAGACTTTTAAAACGATATCTAATATTAATACGATATCTAAACGTCACCACTGGCACCTCACTGTTGACATAAAGCCATGCTTTATACACGCAAGATTGTTAGCATTAGGGCTGTACAGTGTTTCTCAGGAAACTGAGGAGTTACTTTAGATGTTCTTTTATTTTGCTTTGAGTTTACGTAATCGTTTAGGTAACACATCATTGGACGTGTTAACAAGGTTAAGTACAAAACTCTGACCATACTGTACTATTAGTGCCCGTTCCCACCTCTTGTATAGTGTGCTCATTCGAGAGAGAACACGTTAAGGCACGAGTATCAGCAGAAAGCACAAGTTTGTGGTTTTCCGTCTTTGAATTCTAGTGAGTAAATAACCTATTCTTAGTCAAGTTTAACAGCCAGCCAGTGCATTATCACGTACTGTGCGCCGCTTCAAGGCGCAGAGGAGAGTTACTGTAATATGGTTTTATTTAAATCAGAAAGTGAAGCTAAATTTAAATCAAGCAGAAAAAAACCGCAAGCACACCAGGGGAGCAGTATAGCTAAATGTGGTGAGACAAGTCAGATTATTTTGTAGCAGCACAGAATACCGGTTTAGACCACAACTCCTCATCTGCTTCTTTCGTGCGTAAAAATCTTGCTTCTGCTTTTAGGTATTCTCGATTCTGCTACCTACCGAGCCCAGATGATTTCCCCTCATCACACATTTTGTATCTCTCCCCCAAAAAATCGAAAATCTTTTCGATTAGATCGGAACCGATATACTCGTCCCGTACAGTGTATGAATGCCCCTGCGCGCCTGTCCAGTAATGGAACTTGAAAAATATCAGCTCGGCAGTATCAGCTGTCGTAGTGAAGTGTACAGTATACGACACCCCGTTCGTTACCTTACAATGCGGAACATTTCCGAAACTAGTTGACTAGTTCATTGCGGCTTGACGCTTGAACTGACGGTTTACTGTGCATCCTGTTGGCAACCAGTAGAAATTAACTGGTGAACAGTTTAAACCAGTTCGTTCCAATAAGTACCAGTTCACACCATCAGAAGCTAGTTGCTAATTTCTGCAATTTCTGGAACCATCTGGAATTTCTAATAAAGGTAATCTATAGCTAGAGCATTCAACCTTTCTTTAAGAAAAGCTTACGGTAGCACGGATGCTGTATTGTGATTATACTGTAGTTATAAGAGTTTATTTTTCTGTTTTATTACGTCGGGTTAACTTCGCCCGGCAGTCCGGGGGATGTGACACACTACATCACGGATCAGTATAATCACATGGCCGTCCGCCTGGCTCGGCGTCTTATTGGTCGCTAACGCACTCCTCAAGATCTGAATGTGCTTTCTTGGCTCAAAACTCGGGGAATGAACCACAAGAGGCGAGTAGATTGAAGTGAGCTCGCCCGTTCATCTGCAAAGGCAGGTTCGGAAACTCCTGGACTGAGCTTCGAGAGAAGTTCGCCTGCAAAAGACAGACGCCCACTGAACTGTAACATAGATTTACAGTGGTACATATTGCAATTAACTTCAAACTAGTCACGGATTACAAGATTGTCGGGACACTACAAAAGTATAGAAGCGGAACCTTTGTGTTTTTATGTTTACATTTTTTTTTTTGCTACTGAAACGGACTTTGAAGACGCTTTTACAGCCCGTATAACAACTGTTATCAACTGGATATTATTGTTTCCAGGAAACGGCGCCTTGGATTTAATGTCTGTTTTTGAATGAAAAATGAAAACCTTTTGCGTGAAAAAGCGGATGACATAAACTACATAGAATTGGATGCGTTGTGTTATGAAGCTGGTTATTAGCGGTATATCGACATATCGGTGCGCTCAAATAATGCTCAAAAAGAATAAAAAATAACTGTAACCAACAGGGTCCCTGTCTCGGTTATTAAAAAGCACTTGGACTTGTTGGTGCTGATACGGGACTTCGGAAAGCAACTGTGAAAACTAGTGTTCTTGACAGAACAAGGTATGTTTATTTCTTTCGTCTACGACACTTAACTACTATGATATATTTGTGCCGTCTTCTGTCTGACAAGAGCGAAAACATCCCCTTGTTAGTTGCCAAGGGAAATACCCCAAAAAACATTATTTGATATTCTGTTTCAATGCCCTAAAACGACAAATAGTTCGCAATGCCAGAATGTCATTTGAAATCAGCTTTAGTTATGCAAATTAAAACCACTTTCAGTAAACAACCCCAGAAAAGGGCTCAGGGACTAATCTTTTTGTCCACAAAACGCCTCAAAACACTCCGAAAATGATCTCGTCATTCATTCGTCGAAACGTTAAACATTCTCGTCTCTTTTGTTTAGAGAAGGTAGCTCTTGAATCTATACTCCATCCCAGTAAAACTTTGTCAACTTTATATGGTCGGAAAGTCATTTATGAATTAGCAAACCCGAATAGCACTGTGTAGAACTGCATGTATCTAGAGTGGTAATGTTTGAGTCTTCCAGAAAACAGAAATGTGTTGTGACATCGACATATTGGAAGTACAGTAGCACTGAGATGTTTCCATGTAGTTTTACCCTGATAGCAAATGCTTTTAATCGTGAGATTGTAATGGCTCGTATCGGTGAATGGCTGCTCCAATGTATATATTATTGGAATAATCTCTGACTGGTGTGGACCTAATGGTGAAAGATGAAGATATTGGTGTTCTTTAAGATATGTTCTTACACAAAGCGCTCCATGATTGCTGTACCAGAATTCACTGTTGGGTTTTTCGAGAATATTAACCGACACAATGCAAATTAATGTTGTTGTGTCTCAGCAAGCTTATGAAAGACAGAACGTCTTTGACGCCAGAGTCGTACCCAAAGCAGAATAATGTCATCATCTTGATGGGTGAATCCTGCTGTTGATGATGCGACACACAAATTACGTTTTTCTCTTGCTTCCGAAATGTTTTAAAATTGAGACATTTTTAAGTATTATTCAGCGTCTAGTCACTTTTAAAACAGTTTAGTTTGTTTGACCGCTAAAGTGCGCTGGAGTGTATTGGCTATTATTTCACTCATTTCCCGAAAGCCGACTATCTCTGGCAAGGAAGGACTCTAGTGTTCTCGGCCCTAGGTCCGATTTTGGGCTGGGGGTGACGTTTGTGTGGAGTATGTACGTTCTCACCGTGCCCCGTGGGTTTTCTCGGGGAGCCTTGGCCCTCCTCGTTCAAAGTCAAGGATTGGGTTTGGTCAATCTGTGTCCATCTATGCCTGTGAACGTGATCTGTTAGGGACGTTTGTACTGTCCAGGTTGCAGTTCCGCAGGGTCCTGGGACAGACCTTGTAGATTTTTATCCGTGTCTCATTTACATACAGTACTGCCTATAAGAACAACCAGGGTTGTTCAAATTGATAGTCCCCTTGCGAGATAATACTAGAAACCTTTGTTGTTTGTTTTAAAACGGAAAAAAATACATTTGATGACAGAGAGCTGCATTATAGATCATCGATTGCAGTTTTTCAGATCTCAATGAAGTGAGTTTAAAGAATTAGACGGTATTTTGCGCAGAGCAGAGCGCGCTCGAAAAGTAAAACTGTATAGTACGTCGTTTCATTGTCAGGAGTGATGCAAGCGATCAGACGAGCAATGACACCATAAAGTCAGTCACGAATGGAAATGGTTAAATTCATCCTGTCGGAGTAAGTGTCGTTTGCTGCACCGTACTGTATTTTGTCCGTTAAAATTCTGCGAAATAAGAAATGGTCCTAAGTATGAATTGGAGATGCATAATGCATTGCGCTCCTACCGTACATGAAATATTCCAGTTTCTATTAGCCATCAGATTACGCACTTAGACTTTATAGCTGCAGTTTAAATTCTGCAGATGACTACGCTTGTGTATATACAGTATAAAACTATTTTAAGGGATCAGTTAAGGGCCTGTTATTTTAGTTGTAGTGATAAGATGATATAACTCCTTTACACAACGTGTAGGTTCTTGCAATAGTCATTATGATCTTTTATAACCGTCTCCTGTAACCGATAGCTGTCTCACTGTAAATATAGAAACAATTCTACATTCAAGTTACCACACCTGGCCAGAAAGTGTTACTTTCTACGACACAGAAGAGGCTCGCCAGATTTAGAGGGAAGTTACAGTTTGAACATATTTTATGTTTGCTTTTTTTCTAACAATTGAAAGGCAGTTAAGTTTTCCCCCAAGGTGTATTAAAGTATTTAAATGAAAGCTCATTGTGAAAATAATAGCATAACTCAACATGAACTAAAAAATGATCAAATATTGTAGAAGGCTCAAAACGTTCATATTTAATGTAAATACTGTAGCTCTAAATTTCGGCTACAGAAAAACATGATTTTTATAACTTGCTGACCAAAAGGCAGAAAACCAGGCGTGTATGTACAGACACGCTCAATTTAAATATTTCAGTGCAGCACCTGTATCAAGAGAGTGAGACTGCTTAAGTTTCGTTTTCTTTTTATGTCGCTCAAAGTAATAAAGATATACAGCAGGGATAGTCAATGTGGTCTTTCGATTAGCGCCATTGCAGAACTTTGATAGAACAAGTTATTTCATTGTATCAAATAATTAAGGATTTGAGTGCAGTAAAATTGTGTAAATAGGAGGTTGAGTATCTCTGTTGCACTCTAAAGTTCTAATCAAATAGAAAAAACTGTCAAAGGGTTTTGTGAATTATTATCTTATCTGAGGATCACAGCAAGATAAAAAAAAACATTAATGGTGCCCTCTTGAAACCTTAAGATATAATTTTTACATTTTAAGAAGATCAATTAATGTATTGTAGAATAATACATGTTTGGGCCTTGGAAATGATTTCAAAATTAGGGGCAATGGAGGAAAGCAAGGTTTTTAAAAGAAACCAGAGCGATGTTTAGCGATGGTTTATTGTATGTTGGGTTATTTAAAAGCTTGACAAATGTATTTTTTCTCAAACCACATCTCTGCCAAGTTAAATATCTTATCTGATAAAAGCATAGAATTTTTCACAGAACTCAAGATAAGCAACATGTGTTACTGTTAATAAGTCTTCTTTAATTAGTACCTTTTTTTGTCCAAATTCAACTACATTTTAAAAATGATGATTGTGTCAGACATCATAGTGTTCACAAAATTGTTTCAAGAGACGCAAAAGGGTTGCATTTGATGCATGTACGTCCTTTAAGTTTTCTTTACTTAATTCTCCTAGAATGTGAATGGTACAGTATCATTAATCTCATGGTATGATCACAAATGGCAGGACTGTGAAGGCTGCCGTACAGTAAGTGTTTTATGCCAGTCCTGTCTTTGTGAGAAACCCGTACCACCAGGGGTCACTGTAGAGCAGGCATGAGCCTGATCTGATGCAGCCCCCAGAGTGATGGCAGAGTACCAGGACACAAAATGCTCTCGTTTGCCTTCCTCCTTTTCCAGGAAAGTTTCACATCAGCTCTTGGTTTTGCTTTTCATCTTGTATGAAACACACGTTAGGAATGTGACAAAGTATCTTTCTTCCTCTGTGAAATGAGTTGTGGTGAAATCTAGTCTTTATTTTAAAGTTCACCCTGCTCCTGTAAAAGCTGCAGGTTGAATGGTTGAGCTCCAGGTGATCTTAAGGATTCATTGCCTGTGCCAAAGACCAGAATCCACATTAATAATAATAATCATAAGTTAGACAAAGCCAGTGTCAGGCTTGACACTGTTGTTGTGTTATTGTGCTTGGCTTGAAGTGTGAAACACCTGCAATACCTGCCTTGGTTAGAGCCAAGCATATTGATCATAATCAATATGATCATGGTCCTGTTGAAACATGGAGGACCATGCAGTTTAATCACACTCTCCATCACCTCTTTCCCACCTTCCGCTGGGGGTGATCCCGATGAAAGAACGGGGTTGGGTTTGGGAAGTATATGTTTCACCACCTTGAGGAATTCATGTCAGCTCCTGTCCAAGGCTCAGAGCATTATTCTGTGGAAGATCCTAATATTTTATCAAGCGAATGGTATCACGTTTTGTGGGCACATTCTTGTCCACCATCATTTTGTCACCCATTTCGAGATTTGAAGAGTGAAAGCTGGCCATCTTGTCGATGCTGAAGTGTCCTTATGTCCTGGGTGTTTTAATACAGGAAATCCAGTTACAGGCAGGCTAATCCTGCTTCTTTTTAAGCACCTTTGTCTTTGCAGTATCCAGATGTTTTCACACTGACCTTAGGGATAGGGGTTGAAGCAATCCAAAGAGCGCAGAGCAGCATAAGTGACAAATCACAATTTCACCAATCTTTTTTAAACCTTTCCATGAAAGCTCTCTACCTCCCTCGTTGAAACCTGACGCTTGAAAATGCCTTCACAGTAAGGAGACGTTTTCAGTGGGGGTGTTTTGAAAGTTGAATGACAAAAAATACTTTTGCTGCATAAAACTGTTTGTCTCAGACAGACTGCAAGAATGGTTTTCATGTCTCAGTGTTGTTTTTTCATAAAGGCATGTAAAAATAACTCTGGGGTGAACATTTAGACATCTTATGCAATACTGAACCCAAGAGGGCTAACGGCAGCATAATTTCAATGTCAGGTCAACATGTTTGAGGACACTTTGTGCTGCATCAGTTGTAAATAATAGATGAGCATGTAGGCTCTGTTGAGAACATGATGGGATTTGTCACGTGTTCTATCAGTATTTTTAATTGGGGGTGATTCTCTTTTTTGTATAAGTTTCCTTTAAAAGCAAGTAATGTGCCGCTTTGTGTCTGCCAGTGTCTCGGTGTCGCTGGAGAGGTGGGTGAGCCATTTCGTATTCAGGAGAAGATTATCACAATGCTTCCAATGTCCTCCTGGCATTCTTCAAAGAAATGACACATCACTATAGAGTGTTGGGCCTGAAGGGCTTTCTGGAGCACTTTTGAAGTGTGTAGTGTAAATGATAGTGGTGAAAAGTCTTTTTTTTTTTTTTTTTTGGAAAAATAGACATTTCTCCTATAGTAGAATTAGTAGTAAATTAGTATTGCAGAA